AGAGAAGATCAGGAACTTGAGGGAGGGACAGGGAGAGGGAAGAGGGAGAGGGAGGGAGAGGGGAAGTGGAAGGAGAGGGAGAAAGAGGGAGATGAAGAAGTGGAATGAGAGGGAGGGAGAAGGGGAAGAAGAAGGGGTGGCCTTAAGTTCCTGTGTGCATCTTGATCCAGTCGCTGTAATAGGACACCTCCGTGTAGACGCCGGGGTAATCGGGGCGCGCGCAGCCGTAGCCCCAGGACACGATGCCGGCGAGGTAGGGCGAGCCGGTGTCCTTGCACACGAGGGGTCCTCCGGAGTCACCCTGGCAGGCGTCGCTCCCTCCGTCAGGATACCCGGCGCAGATATTGAAGTCCTCGATGAGCAAGTGCTGCGCGCACTCCTCGTCGGGCACGATGGGCACGGTCACCTTCTGCAGCACGTCCGAGGAATAGCCGCCCTCCACGGTGGTGCCCCAGCCTGACACCACGCAGTCGCCGGTGGCCGTGTGCCCCTGCTCCGCGATGGGGATGGGCTGCACGTAGTCGTTGAAGGTCAGGGGCGACGACAACTGCAGGAGCGAGATGTCGTTGTAGAGCCACGGGCCGTTGTAGTCCTCGTGGCGGATGATCTTGGACAGGATGATCGTCTGCTCGGTGCCGTCGTCGACGTCCAGGTTGTGCTCGCCGGCCACGACCTGTGGGGGGCGGGGAGGGGGTCAGGCGGGGGGGGGGGGGGCAGCTGCATTTGATTTGTGACGGTCATGTGGAAACAAACCGGATTGGCCGGCATGGAAAGGAAAATGGGATCTCTTTATCTGTGACTGTCATGTGGAGGCAAATAGGGTTTTCTTTCTATTCATGACTGTCATGTTGAGGAAAAGATGCTCTTTATCTGTGATTTCCATGCATAGAGAGGCATGATTTTCTCTATCTCTGACTGTCCCGGGAGAAATTTATAGACACTGAATGTTCCGACTTGTCCAAAAGTGAATAAATCGACTTATTGATTAAGAAATAACTAAGCAAGAAATCAAAGGAATAAATAAAAGCGTGGAAATGAGCGATGTCATATCAAACCTTTTAACGAAATACACACACACACGCACACACACACACACACAAACACACACACACACACACACACACACACACACACACACACACACACACACACGCATATATATATATATATATATATATATATATATATATATATATGTGCATATATATATATATATATATATATATATATATATATATATATATATATATATATATATATATATATATATGAGAGAGAGAATTTAAGAAAGAGAGAGAGAGAGAAAGAGAGAAAGAAAGAAAGAGAGAAAGAGAGAGAGAGATAGAGAGACAGAGAGAGAGAGAGAGAGAGAGAGAGAGAGAGAGAGAGAGAGAGAGAGAATTCGAAAGAGAGATGAACAGAGAGAGATCTATAAACCGACAGACAGACCAATAGACAGACAAAAATACCTGCAGGTAATCCGGGTTGTCCCAGTCCTCCCCGTTGACGCAGTGCCCGGCGCAAATGCCCCAGTTCTCATTATAGATGGAGGCGCCGCAGAAGTGGAACACCTCGTCGTAGGAGATATCCTGGAAGCTTAGCTGATAAGGGACCTCTCCCGGCGTCACCTCCGTGCCTCCGACGATGCGGTTGAGGCCTCGACGGAAGGTGGGCCGGAGGGAAGGGCCGGCTGGGGGGCGGAGAGAGAGAGGGGTCAGGGCTAGGGGATCGAGGAGGGAGGGGAGGGGAGGGAGGGGGGGGAGGGAGGGGAGGGGAGGGAGGGAGGGAAGGAGGGAGGGAGGGAGGGAGGGGGTGGAGACGAGGGGACGGGGGTTGGGGTATGAGGGGGTAGGAGATGGGAAGGGGGTGGAAGGATGGAGGGTATGGGGTGGGGGGAGAGGTTAGGGGGATGGATGGCATATATGGAGGGAGGGAGGGGTGGAAGAGGAAATAATCATGGGTGGAACGGAGAGAGAGAGAGAGAGAGAGAGAGAGAGAGAGAGAGAAAGAGAGAGAGAGAGAGAGAGAGAGAGAGAGAGAGAGAGAGAGAGAGAGAGAGAATAGAGAGGGAGATAGATAGATAAATAGAGAGATAACTTGATAACAATAACGATAATAATTTATTTTTATTCCATTTGTTACAATGGTTCTTCTTGGTGTGGTAGGCTGTCTGTTTCATTCTAAATCCCCCCCCCCCCCCCGTGTGCAGGATATGGTCATGGTTACCATCCACTGGCAGGATTTGAACGCGGGCCAGGAAGACTGCCAGACATAGACGCTACCACTGTACCACACAGCACACAAGAGAGGGGAGAAGGGGAGAGCGAGAGATATAAAGAAGGATAGAAGAACGAGACAGACAGATAGGAGAGAGGGGAGAGAGTGTGAGATAGATAGATAGATAGATAGAAAGAGAGAGAGAGAGAGAGAGAGAGAGAGAGAGAGAGAGAGAGAGAGAGAGAGAGAGAGAGAGAAAGAGAGAGAGAACAGAATAAAAGAGAATGTAAATTTAAAAAGACGAAAACAGATGAATAAAACCTAATATATAGTCTTCGAATATGCTCTTTCTTGTGTGGATTATATGCGGATGAAGGGAAGTGGAAGATAACAGAGATAAGAAAACAATAACCATAGGTTTTGAATGTTATGAATAACGATGATAACAGGAATTCTAATGATAATGATAAGAGTAAGAATAGCATAAATGATGATAATGAAAAGAGTGATGATGATATTGAAAAGACTTATTATAAGGGTGATGATAATAAATATGGTAATGAGCATACCAACAATGATGGTAATGATTATGCAGATAATGGTAATGGTAAGAAGTATAATAATATTAGTGTTTATTATAGTAATAATGACACACACACATTATAACACACACACGAGCACACACATATTCACACATACACTAACACACAAATATACACTAGTACGTACACAGAGCACTCAGATACAAAAAAATCCATCAACATGACAAAATTCATAACAACAGACTCAGTACTAATCGTAGTAGTAGTATGAATTGCAATACATACTAATACTAATAGTGTAACTAATTCTAACAACTTCTATTAATGATAATAACCACAATAATGTTAGTAATTATAAAGAAAAACAAAAAACACTAATAAAGATACTAGATAACAAGAACAACAATAATAACAATAATAATGATAATAATAATAGTAATAATAATAATAATAATAATAATAATAATAATAATAATAATGATAATAATAATAATGATGATGATAATAATAATAATAATAATAATAATAATAATAATAATAATAATAATAATAATAATAATAATAATAATACTGATAATAATAATAATA